TTACTTACTTACTTACTTACTTACTCATGGAGCTCAGCCCTTCTGGAGGAGCCGCCAATTCTGCAGCTACTCAAGAATTTCCCAGCATTTTATGGAACCCGAAGGTTCATTACCGTGTTCACAAGATCCCTCCACTGGTCCCTATCCTGAGCCAGATCTATCTAAGCCATAACATTCCATCCTCTCTCTCTCTCTCTCTAAGACCCATTTTAAAAATTAAAGATTAATTATCAAAGATAAGCGGCGGCACGCACACAGGGAGCCTGCACAGAATAATACCTGAACGGTGCTGAAAGCAAGAAGTAGCCGCTGCAGCACTGTAGACCTAGAGCAGATATCTCTGTGAATTTTAAATTTTAAATTTAAATTGAAGATTTTAAAAATACCAAAATTCAAAAATCAAATTGACGTATGTAAATTAACGAAGATTTTATACATATCTGACAAATATGAGCAAGGGGATTCTGATAGATCGGGACCTATTAACAACGGAGAAATGAACCATTAAGAAAGCTGATGTTTTAAAATTTTAAACTACTTTCAGTGTAACAGCTACGTGAGAGACATACACCTGATGATGGCCATTTACTGAAGAAAACATGTAGTGTAGAAGAAAAGAAGACAAAAGAACTACAATAAGTTGTTGCACTTAGGACGGAGTTTGTGTCATACATTGTGTAGAGCAGGCATGTCAGACTCAACTTGTACAGAGGACCACTTCAGCCCTATAAATAATAGTCCAGGGCCGCAATTCAAAATAGAAATATACATTAGAGTTTGATACAAGGAAATTTAATTCTATTTATTATTTAGGAATAATTTGAATATAATTACCTAAAGTCACATATATTACCGTTTTAAAAAGCAAGAGAATGCCATTTTTGACAAGCATCAAACAGCTTTTCGATATGGAAAAAAGGAGATTACACAAGAAATTATGTTAGAAATAGCAAAACACTGAATTTCCTGCAGCCTGCTAATTTATGTCTGCGTGAGACTTCTTGTCTTCTGGTCTGTTGGAAAACTGTCTTTACAAAAACTATTTCTACTAAAATTTTAATATCAATTAGCTCTAAAAGTTGAGGGGCCGCACTTTGTGGCCATGGGAGCCGCATGTTTGACACGGCTGGTGTAGAGTGTAACAGGATGCTTAAATATAATATCCTTTTTAATATTGTCCACCCACCTGCGCCTTGGTCTTCAGTGGTCTTTTTCTTCTGGCTTTCCCATCAATATCCTATATGCATTCCTCTTCTCCCCCATTCGTGCCACATGCCCTGCCCATCTCATCCTCTTTGACTTGATCATTCTGCTTATACTTGGAGAAGAGTACAAGTTATGAAGCTCCTCATTATGCAGATCTCTCTTCGGCCCAAATATTAATTCTTTATATTATTACTACTATTATTGTTATTATTATTATTATTATTATTATTATTAGTAGTAGTAGTAGTAGTAGTATCGGTCACCGGATTTGTTCACAGCACGTCAACGCGCGTCATGTGTTGCGAGCAGTTCTCAATTAAATAAACGAATAGCTTTTGCCAACTGAGAGTTCAGAATCACTGCAACAAAAGCCATACCAAGACGAGATCACTCAGCGGAGAGAATGTGTACAGTTCCCAGGGAAGCCGCATGCCACTTGGACGCGAGCGTTAATACAAACAAACATTAAATCATATTCGTGTCCCTCCCACCGCGCGGCGTGTGTGGTGATTGTGTGACATGTTTCAGAAAGAAAGTGGCGGTCTTGTCTTCACTCCAGGGGGTGCCGTAAGTAATTCAAATAATGAAAACACTTTGCCACCCCTCTGTTACAGTGTTATCCCTTCGGAACCCTGCTGATGTGTCATATTTGAAAACTTGGATGAATGTCTATTGTTTGTGCAAGGGAGAATATCCCACTGTTGTATCTTGTAAGTCACCCTGTGGTTTGAAAATGAGTGTTAGGGTTATGTGTGGTATTGTGCTGTACATCCCCCCTTCGGTTCTGTCAGACTGTAGTCTGGTCACATGAGATGTGCGCGGGGTTTTCTTTACATAAAGTACATAAAATTATTGCAAAATAGGGGTCGTGACTGTCCGCCCCTCATGTCTCTTGGAAACGACTCAGATCATTCGATGACATTTGGTGGTGAAAGTCCACACTAAAATTTGTTCTCTTAAGTGAACCCGGTGCGTATCGGTCACTTTTCTTATATTTATCTAAAACATCTCTTGCTACGAAACTTAATACAGAACCCCCTCATTTAACGTCGTGTATACGTCACGGTAGCCGAGCGGTCTTAAGGCGTGCACTGTCTTCGTTCGCTCGAACGCTGTGTTTGAATCCTACTGAGTGCATGGATGTGTAGTGTTTGTGTGTGTTCGTGCATTTTTTCTGTGTTTGTGTACAGGTAGAGAGGCCTAGCGACTTGAGCACCAGCCCAAGGAGTCCCACCGAATGTCTTGAGATCTAGTAAACCGAAGTGAAACGGAGAGTTTCATGGAGGTAGGCCAAGGTCGAAATTGGGGCTGTAGCGCCAAAGGAAAAAGTACGTCCTTGCAATCCGCGACGTTTGGGATAACGTTAAGCGAATCCATTTTCACTATAAGTAGCACGTTCTTAAGCCTTCCTTCACCCTATAATATGCGTTACAATGTAGACAGTGGATGCGATTGTAAATGCTTGTATATTCTTGGCTATATATACGTGCAATTATAATATATGAGACAAACTCCGTCTTAAGTGCAACAATTTAATTGTATTTCTTTCTTCTTGTTCCAACTTTGGGGTATAGGGCTAATTTCTCAGTTCCATGATCATTTTACAGACGGTAGGACTCCTAGGACGAGTGATCAGCTCTTCGCAAGGCCACAGGAAAACATAAGCACAGAATAAACGCATACACACACCAAACTTCCAATCCTTGTGATGGATTTGAACCCACGATCCCGACTTCCGAGTGAGCGAAGACAGTACATGCCTCAGACCGCTCGGCTACCGTTTCCGGCATAAACTGGAATAATGTTTATATAACATTCAGCGTCTTGTATTCACCGATACACGGAAATAAAACGAGCGAGTGGTGGATGGCGCACCGGTCTTGTTAACATTAAACACTTGTTTTGGCGAGTGACCCTCATCTTCGACCATTACCGTAAACTGTGGGTTGTACAGCGACGTAATAACGAGTTAAAATTACTCTGCTTGGAGCCTTGGCATGAGAATAGCATCAGCGTATTAATGAAGCAGCATAATTGCGAAGACGTTAAGTGAGGACGTACTGTACGTGCATGGCAAGTAGAATGTGGATGTCATGCTACTTTCATTTGAATCGTTTTTGATGCGCTGAATATTTAATGAAATAGAATTAAAAGATAAACACCTTCTGTGCACAATTTGATTTGTGAGATTAGCCTTACAACATTAGGCGTGAGTCTGTATTAAAGTCAGATAGAGGAAAGTACCAAGACTCACATTTGGAATAGGCCTATGTGAGTAAAGTAAAGTAAAGTTATCCCATTAACAGGCCGTGAAAACCTATAAGGTTGTGAGACGTCGAGGCTGCTACATGTTCTAGACAATCGGCTCACATATGGCGGTAAGGTTGTCAGCTTTACGCGCCGGCCACCCTTTACACCCCAGGAAGATTCCTGGTACTCATTTCTATTAGAGGCTGAGTCGACCCCAAGGCCATAGTGCGACAGGAAGGGTTAGGTATAGTGAAAAATTCCATCTCATCGAGACTCGAACCCTCGACTTGCCAGCTTGTAGCATAGTTCCTCACCCAAATACGCTCCCGCGTGCCCCCATATGAGTACAGTACTACAGCAGAATATCATCCTTCATGCCACTTCTCATGCCTCAGTATGAACAGAACAAGCCAGATCATTTCATTTGCAGGTAACTATTTTGGCCACTAAGAACATATGCGCATTGTTAAACAGTATGTGCCAAGTTCTGGTTAGCACTGTTCGCCAACGGTTTTCTCACACCCACCGTAAACAGCCCTAACGATTTATCTCTTCAGAGACTGTAGACACATCCCGCATCTTTTGAAGCCAATTTCCCGTTTTGTCGTCATTTGTGACGAGGAAACGTGGGTCATCATCAGGAGTCCGTGCTTTCTGATCGGGAGGTACCTGGTTCGAAACACGGGCAGGAGAGCGGTTACCTTGACTGGGGAATGGGTGGTCGCAATTTCTCTTGATATTCCTCCAGTGCACGGATAGAAGTTCAAAATAGTCTGTAGTAAATTCTTTACCTTCATCGTCCCAGTATATATGAGTGAAAACCGCATGACTTATTGAGTGTAATGTACAGGAAGTGACACATGTAATTTCCTTGAGCTGAGACAGTGATATCTTTTGAAGCTGTAGTAAGGAGGGTTGATGGCCTAGCTCACAGTGGACAGCTTTGCTTCCCCTTGTACGATACGCTTGCAGTTGTTTTACATTCTTTTTCGCCACTTGCAGTCGAGTAGCTGATCCATCGTCTCCAATATTTCGCGAACACTAGCGCGATGTCCCTCGACCGGCACGGACGAGCAGAGCATATCGCTGATCAGTTACCTCTTTCGGAATATGTGGTCTTCTTATCATGCCCGCTGCGAGTTAGAAACAGGCGTGGGATAATGAAACTAATGTGTTATTTCCTGTCTTAAGAATGTGAATTCTGATGAAGTGGATACGTACTGGACCACAGATTCAATTTCATACAGTAGCAAGGATTCATTTTGGCTCTACGTCATATGATGTACATATGTTGTTTCCTGGAATAAAGCGGCCGCAGCGTAAAACTAATCAATCGCCTCTACATATAACTGTGCGGGTCTCTCTCCATGTTTTCCCGTACCCTTCTAAACGTGATACGTACAGAGGCGGCATATACGAGTATGTATGGATTGTGTGCTGTGTGTTGCAGAGTCCGACAGGGGCGCAGGCTTCTGACAGCGACGAGGAGCCGGTGAGCAAAGTGCCAAGACTGAGTTGCGACAGCTACAGCGATCGGCTCACGGATGAAGGATCGTATTTCGAGGTGAGGCCTACCAGCTTTATGTGGCATAATTAGTATGTAATTAAAATATGAATTACATCGAATGTAACAAGAAAGAAACTGATATGAACAGTAGATTACTTACTTACTTACTTACTTACTTATGGAGCTGAGCCCTTCTTGAGGAGAAGCCAAATCTGCAGTTACTCAAAAACTTCCCAGCATTTTATGGAACCCGAAGGTTCATTACCGTGTTCACAAGAGCCCTCCACTGGTCCCTTTCCTGAGCCAGATCAATCAAATCCATGCCATCCCATCCTATCTCTCTAAGATTCATTTTAATATTGTCCACCCAACTACGCCTTGCTCTTCCCAGTGGTCTCTTTCCTTCTGGCTTTCCCACCAACATCCTATACGCATTCCTTTTCTCCCCCATTCGTGCTATGAACCGCAGATGTGTTCAGTAAATGATTGGGTGCGCCTTACATGTTTCGGTTATGCAACCATCTTCGAGGGTGTCCATCAGTATTAAAAGTACTGGACCTTCTTGTAATTTATGGCTCTCGTGTGCAAGCCTCGGTCAACGTATTTTCTGCGGTTCCCACCCTCTAGTTATCGTAATCTGAATTGTGTCGAAAGCCTACTCATATTATTTATTTAGTCTTCCATGCCGTGTCCTTCTGTTGCTGTGATCTCCAATAACAGTATTTCGTGTTGTCTCTACCCGCGTTTCTCGCCTTATCCTCTCTGGCGTCTTTTTTGAGGAAACAGTTCCACCCCTTTTTTTCTCTACTGTCTGCTACCTCCTTTGTCCAGAAGAAGCGCTAGAGACGTCGCCTCGGCTCAGTTTCCTTGAACTGTCGTATCGTTATACCTAGGGCGCGTGTCTATGCCCTTGCGCCAGAACTGAACACAACGACAACGGAGAAATCGCGGAAGCCAGTCGGTCGGTACCTGTGAGAATGGCATCCAATCAGCAGAAGGCAGAATGTGACGAATGGTAAGAACAAAATCTTTTACAAGTATTTGAAGAAAGTTCAGAACATGTTGTGGTTGGATGCCATTCTCAGGGAAACTGTCAACTGGCCTCCGCTCGGTACAATACGTAGCATAAATAAAACTTTCCAAGAGTTTCTTTCGTGTGATGAAAACCACAGTCTTGTAGCTTTATTGATATTTACGATAAAAATTGTTAAAATGTGGTCATTCCTTCTAGTACATTCAGTTCTACTACTTTATACAACATTTTGTCACGGTATGACTTCCTTATATTTTGATTAGTGCCATATAAAGCTGCCCCACCAATCCTGCATGGCACATAGTCACAAGGGAATCGTTACATTAGCTCATTCAGGGCCGAAGGAAGGAATTCTCGGAGATAAGTTAACAGATTTACAAAGGTTTCTGAAGAAAAATAAATTATCTGTCGTCAGAGGGTTCTGCATATGACGTCATTGTGAGGGAAATACAGCAGCTGGAGATCCGTTTATGGTAGGATGACACTTGATTCCGGTTTCCCCATCAGTCACTAAGTTAACATTTGATTGCGGATGGGGGCAGAATGAGTCCCTTTGTACATATTAGGTGATGCATTGCCATATAGGAAAATGCTCCATCCATCATTGTTCAGATATCTGTTACAGTGTTTTCAACAGGAAATACTGAAGTCTCTTAACCCAGCATTTTCTGTAATTGGAATAGTGCACTCGGTGTAGGTACGGGCTACGGGCTGAATTGCCGAAAAATTGTGGTTCAGTACCTGGCAGGGGCAACAGCCACATCATCCAAACCGTCTCTGGGACCTATCCAGTGGGCGCTGCGGGGTAAAGCGGCAGAGCCGTGAAGCTGACCACTTACCTCCATGAACTGCCGAGGTTAAGAATGTTGGAGCTATACCTCCACTTCCCATACTTCTTTTTGCTGTGGCGCTTGATTAATTAAGCGCAGGGAAAACTTCCCTTTTTTACCCTTATATCTGAGAGTCTCATGGAGAAGGAAAATTTAGATTGTGATCTTCTGGGTGCTGACAGCTCGTAATCTGGTAGTCGGTTACCAGGTTTTCGGAGAAACATGTTGTCTCCATCTTCAGAGTAGAAGTGATTCTTTAATGTTATGAAGAAGTGGATACTTGGAGTAGTGTAAACTTTTTGTTTTCCAGAGTCTATAACTTTACCTCGAGGTTTCTGTGGGGTTGGTTGCTATTTATATGAAATTTATGCTTGATAAGGTTGCCTCAGATTAGCTAGTCTTTTGGTTCGTGCATTTCCCCTGATGTTTGTATCGTGATATTTCAATTTTCTCTCAGTCAACAGTATTGTGGACTCTATCTTACCTCTATAGAAGTGAAAATGACCGGGTATATGAGGACTAGCTCCACGCATTTATAACCTTTGCACTAGACGGAGGTGAATGATCAGTTTCACGCCCTGGCCGCTTTACCCCTAGGGAAATTTCTCCCACTATATACTAGGCAGGCTGTATGAACCCAACATCTATAGAAAATGTAATTTTGAGATAGTTTTCTTTTTGGTTTTGGCACCAACATTTAGATGACACATGGCTGCCTTAATCCGCAGGGTATAACAGTGTTGCTCTGAAGATGGGGGCCGTAGTTTCTTATAAAACTTTGGTACGTTTCCGCCACAGTACAGAGCATCACATTCTGGAAGACTATAATCTCAGTATCATATTGTCTCTTTAAGCCCAAGATCCTGATAATTGAAATAAGATGAAAACATCGAGATGTGGAAAGCATGGTACATGAAGGAACCTGTCCTGAAGATAGAGGTAACAGCTTTGTCTGAAATATATGTGCCTATCTACCAGACTCAGTGCAACATCTCCAGAGACACTCATCTTCAAAGCCACCTCCATGGGAACATCACATCTCTCATATCTCATTTCTCTTTCGGCATTGTTGGAATAACCCCAAAAACAGAGCTTCAGAATTTAGTGACTGGAGTTAGATTAAGTGTTTGTAAGATACCAGAATACATCTGTTGAACGTAAGTAAACAGGCCCAGATGTAGCACATAATTTGAAAGTAAATTGAACTGTTTTTAATTTGTATTTGTGTCTCAGTTTTATACTACGTCTACTAACAGATTTCTTACTGAACATCTTTTTCTGATGCAGTTCCTTTGTTGTGTGTGCAGGATGATTTGGAAGATCTGTGTGTGATGGACACAAGTCCACCATCTGCAGAATCATCAGTTCCAACTCCCAGCACTACGGAGGAAGTGGAGGCTGCAGGAGAGTGCTGCTTTGAGGAAGTTGATTCATCTGTTATCATGGTTGGCCCTTCAAATGACTTACAGAAACCTCGCCATCACCAGAAGAAGCATTCCACTGCCGGCACTCCAAGCAGTGAAATGGTACTGCAGAGGAAAGAGACTACTAGAACTGGAGGAGGAACGTCTGATGGTACTGATATCAATGACAACCACTACAGTAGTCACAGGGAAGCAATTATGTGTAGAAGAAAGGCTGCATCTGTCATCCCTGGAACAGATTCATTAGGGGTGCGTCATTCACAGGAAGACATTTCCCGGTTCAATACATCCAATCGCAAAGGTCCAAATTGTGCCACCTTCTATATAAAGCATCATGATATGGACTCGGATCATGATATGAATAGAGGGGATATGGGTGCTGCAGAACAAGGAAGACTTGCAGACACAAAATCTCTTGAGGATTCATCTGATGATGAATGGACCTATAAGCAAGGCAATGCATCTCCTGCCAGAGTGAATGGAACAAGTGATGGATCAGGGTCTTCTTCAGAAACAACAACTTCTGTCAGAAGACATAGCACTAGTAAGAAAAGTTCAGTTGTTATGAGACTGGACTTTGGAATTAGACCAGAGAATGCAGTGAACAGCGATGACATATGTAGTGATATGATTTTGAATGGGAGGCATGAATCCAGCAACCAAGTTGAGGACGAGCAAAAGAAATTGAAGGGTTCTCCAGGAAGACAATATGAAAGGAATAGCTTGGAAGCTATACACAGACTGGTCAGTCAGGCTGAAAAAATGGTCCGGGAAGATGCATCTCCAGAGAAGATGTCTGCCACTACAAAAGCAGCCAGAGAGTTTGAACCACTTGTGTTCAGCGATGTTGGGAACATGTCTGCAACTTCGCGAGCCAAATATGCTCGTATCAAGCAGTGGCTCAAATTACGTCTCCAGGATCAAGCTGATGCAAAGTCTGTGTTACAGGTGAGCTGCATTTGACTCTGTTGTAAGATATCATCGCTACAAACTTCTAGATCTTATTAAACATTCTGATCTGATATAATAATGTTAATGTAGCCATTACTTTATAAAACTTTAAAGAGGGCAATGCCATCAATTCCAGCAAGTACAGCCAGCTTCCCCTGGCTGCATATTTTGAAGATGGCCACTTCAACATCACTGTTACTCTCCAATGTTGAAATTTATGATGCATGGTAATGTGTTTTCATGAATGTTTAAACACAAACAGAGGGTCTGCAAACTGGTATGGGAGGTATCAAATATGATAGATCTGAATGTAGAAAGAAGTGTCCATGAAAGTATGCGACAGGAAATTTTTAGATAAATTTCTGTTGTCTATTTTCTTAAGATTATTAAAATTATATGATGAAGGTAGTATGAATTATACAATAGTAATTATAGTAATCACAGTGGTCATGTGGTATGATGCATGAACTGTCTTTGTTCACTGAAATGCTGGGATCATGGATTCAAATCCCACTCAAGGCATGGATGTTTGTTTGCATTTATTCCATGGTTGTGTTGTCCTTTGTAGGTACTGGCCTTGCGACAGGCTGATCTCCTGTCCAAGGAGTCCTACTGACTGTCTTAGGATTAAGAAACTGAAGTGAAACAAAGTGTTTCATGGACGCCGTAAGCTCCAAATTGGGAGCAGCAGGAGAGAGAGAATTTTCACTTGACCACTTCACTTCAGCCAGTGCAGTCAGGGTACTGGTACTTCCTGAATGCTGTATAAAATAGGGAAAATGATATAAATTTTACCAAAATGTATTAGCTACCATCACTTCTTTACATGAGTCAGTTATCTGAAGTTCATCTAGTATTGACTATAGACCAGGTGCGAGAAATTAATTTTATTTAGGGGACAGTTATTTGAACATGATGTCCTAAATTCTGTTTTCTGCTCCCAGTCATTAAACCAAATCTGATTTAAATTTCTCTCACCCTGTTGTATGTGTAATAAATTGTAATTGGTGAACACATGCACTAGGAACCTCAAACCTCACATTTTTATGGAATATCTTTCCCCTTTCTCTGCTGCTCTTGTCTCACAGTTACTGCAGTTTATAGGCTGTGTGAGAGTGAAAATTGATAGAAGGCTGTATCGGTATTCAGCGGGCAAAGAATACATAAAAACTAAAATTTGGTTTATTGTCTCCAAATCCCAGCCATAAGAACATAACAGTTCTGAAAGAAAAATAGTCCATAACAGAATCGCACTTTATGTTTGCTCGTACTTGCTACTTGAGAGCAGAGGAACAGATTGTTTTCATTTTGGTGTTTGAATTTCATTACAGCCTGCAGACAGCTGTGATGCAAGTGGTGAGTACACAACAGGTGACTCTGAAGAGGAAAAGGAATCGCAGTCCTCGGAGGATCTCAATAGCAGTGTGGCTACTTGTCGGCAACTGGAACTTTTTGTGGGTAGCTTTGGTAGTTCAGCTGAGGCAATACCTGATCCTGACACCACTCCTGTGGCAGAACGAAGCCTGCCACTCTCTCCTGAACACAGTGGTGGGAAGGTAAGAGATGGATACTCTTAAGTGGCTTAGGTTTATGCTGGTCACACATTAACAGAATTTTATTAGTGTACCATTCAATGCAGGTGAATGTAACAGTTGTGTAACCAATCATTCTGTGTTCATTTTCTCAGGTGGTGTTAAGAAATAAACGCCGACAAGTCACTGGAGAGCGTCCATGGAGTGTTTCTGGAATTTCACAACTAGGAAGCACTACACCACAGACAGGAAGTGAGCCCCTTGCCCACTTCTCAATCTCAGAGTCAGCATTGAATCAGATGATAACAACCATGCCACCCACAGGCAAGAGTGGGTCTGCAAATCTGTCGTCGTCAACAATTGATGGGTCTGTATTACTTGCTGCAGAGGGCTGTGGTTCTCGGAATGGCTCCCTCCGCAGGCGTAAAGTTAGACTTCGCAAGAGGACCCTTGTAAGTAACTTGGAGGAAGTCAGAATACCGTAGTTTCTTCAGTTTAATAATGTATTCACCATTTTACAAATAATAACACGAAGAGATACATCTGTGTTGAAATGTTTCATTGACTCCTATATTTCAGCACAGAATGTTGAGGCTTAATAGCATTTTTGGCATTGTTACTGTTATACCTGTATGTTATAAGTTTTTCCTTCTTCAGCATAATCTTTGCTGTGAAATACAATCACATCTTGTCACCCATTGCCTTGAGTAGTATTATGATTCTAATCTCATCTGAGACACTCCCTATCCTGACTGAGGTTTTTCATGGTTTCATGGTTTCTGTCCCTCCAGACATATGCCAAGATAGTACCCTGATAAGGTATCAACTGCTTCCATTCAAGTTCTTTCCAGTTTATCATTCATCACACGTTCTATCATTCAGTGCTATGTAATCTGGAAACTGAGACCATCATAAATTACGCCACTAAACAAAGAAAAAGAAGGCATGAGTTGACATAGGAAGCTATCAGATTAATTCTGTGTGACATTACCAGTCCATTAGTATTATTGCTCATAATTATTCTATCATGAGCCAGGTTCAGGAGAATGAAGTTATTTTGGTGTTTAAATGAGCTGAAGCAAACTGAATGCATAACGTGAGTGATGCTGTGACTGCAGTCACTTTCTTGCAACTGTGGTCATATTAGAGAGACAGACAGGCTCACATGCAAATGCATTTTGGTAGTTGTTTGTGATACTAACTGGTATGCATTACAGCTGTCCATTGGTTTTCTGTAATGAGTACAGCTTCTGTACTGAAAGTCATATAATTTCATTTATGCTCTACTGAATTTCAGATGGAGAAAAGTTATGTATTATAATGTTTTAAGTATATAACCAGCCTGTTTTCAACAAAATGTAACATACAGTCACCATTAACTATGTTTTATAGCAGCCTTACAGAACTTGTTTTGTACATTCCTATTTAACTTTGTTGTTGTTTTGGTGACATGACAGGAGAAATGTAAATAATATTGTGAAGGTGAATAATTTCTAATATGATGTGGAACATAAGACTACATTTTTTTACGGATGTTGATACTTGAATGCAAAGTATGTGTTTATGATTATTAAAACTTGTCTGTTGTCATTAGCTGCCAGAACACCTGTTTGATTGTTTTTCAGCTCAATAATGGTACTAATTCACTGTGAAAATGTAGACTGAACTAGAGGAAGGAATGTGGAACATGTAGTGGTTTTCCTACTTTTTGGATAGATGACAATCTGTTTTGGTTCATGATTAATGATGACAGCTCTTTTTCCTAAATATCTTGCAATTTTGATGCCATAAAGTAATGTCCTACTTGTCAACAGGGCCGGAAGAGTGAATCTGGGTCAGATGGCATGACAGTTGGCCACTCTGGCGGCAGTGATACGCAACATCGGTCATCTTCACAGAAGTTAACCCCCAAGTCTCCCAACAGTTCAAGTGCAGAGGGCAGCACTGGCAATGCATTTCGCTTTCCTGGAAAGTCATACCACAGTTCAGGTACAGAAGGAAGTCCTCTTGATGCATCTCGGACACTGACAAAGTCTCGCAACAATTCAAGTTCAGAAGCTAGTCCCAAAGGAAGTGTAACTCGGACTCTCTTCAAATCAGGATCTTTCTCTGGCACACCAGTGAGTGGGAGGAAGATACCAGAGAGATATACTACTAGTGACCCAGCAATGCTGGCATACTCTCTCACAGGTGATGTTACCAGTGGGACTGAAGCAGAGGATGACCACCAGGTACCAAAGCAGCAAATGGTGCCCATGTTCAAACTTGGGCCAGTGGCAGGTGCTGTTACTGTTGGAGGGAAGAGAGATGGTGACAGCGATATGGAGAAGAGCAGTTCTCTTGCAGTAGAGGAGCAGTTGAGCTCATTTTCTGAGCAGGCATGGGACAACTATCAGGTTAGCCTCATCTGACACACAGTTTAAAATTGAAACTTTGAAATTCTCACAGCAATGATGGCAAAGAATACCATCTTCTGGAATATCACACCATAATGCCTGGAAGAAGTTTACTGATGTTTTGGAGGAAGTACTGGTTCCATCTTCATAGTTGAAGAGTAAGCAAAGCTGGCTTCCTAGCTTGACTTACTCTTTGACCCTGAAGATGGAAGCAGTACATTCCTTGGGAACATCAGTAAACTTCTGCCAGACTACGTGATGTCACATCCCAGATAATAATGTAATTGCTTGATATGTGTGCAAAATATTGAGCTGGAAAACTGATTAAAATTAATACATAACAAATAGTTACAAGTAGGAGGAGCATTCCATATATAATGCCTCCTATTTTTAACCCTTCAGTGCGGGCATTTAAATATCGCTGTTGAGGGGCCTCCTGCGGTAGTATTTTTTAATTGCCCATTTAAATTTTGCTCTAAATTATATTATGTATCATAATTTTTTAACTATATGAGGTATAATTATGAATTTTTCACTGAAATCATCTTAAAAGATGGTTCTATAATCTTACCTTATAATATGAGTGCCCTGTATCTGAGCGGTGGAAGCAAGTGGATTAGAAGTTGAGTTTCGTATGGTATTTCTTGAAACATCTATCTAAACACAACCCTGCCTCACATTCACTACACCAAAAATAAATTCTTTCCTTTTACCATGTTTTGCACACACCACACATCTTTTTTGAGGCTTTGCTTTTTTTCCTTTGGCTGGAATATGCACCAGGAAATGTCATTCTGTGAGTCTTTTAGGCGGCGGCTCAACTGATGGACGGCTGGCTGTATACAGGATGAGGAAAACCAGAACCGTGATTTTCCACAAGGCCTTGTGCTAGTGAAAGTCTGAACTTTAGCCTGCCCATGTTTTTGTTATTCAGGAGACACCAATATACAGGGTGCCCCAGGAGGAATGTGCCAGACTTCGGGAGGGTGTTCCTTATGTTAAAGTATGCCGATGTAACCCAAAACACCTATGTCCAAAGTTGAATGGTTACGGAGATAATGGCCAGAGAAATGTGAAATTTTGGCAGGTGTTACACACATGTTGATTACCAAATACATATTAAAACTGGCAGGAATATGTGGTTTTTGTGATGTTAATAATGTACGTAACATCAAACTAATTTGTGAGTGACATGAAGCCATTAAATTGAACTACAAAAAACTCGCACGCCATGTCAAAGTTGTCGTTAAGAGTTCCAAGCACTATACATGACACATGAATGGCAAGCGCTGACGTAACATTGCTGACTGCGCATTCTGGTATGCAAATGTATGGGGATAACATGAGCTGCCATCACCACACTCAAGGACAAACACAGATAAGAGTAGCCAGCTGACAGGTACAGTGCGTGGACTCGCCAGAAGACCACACTTTTCTCGGGCCATTATCTCCATAACCATTCAACTTTGGACATAGGTGTTTTGGGTTATATCGGCATACTTTAACATAAGGAACACCCTCCCGAAGTCTGGCACATTCATCCTGGGACACTCTGTATATGACCATTGCGTTATATATTGCTACATTGAGTAGCCTGTTAACTAACTTCTGATACCACTTAGTACTCTTCTTTTGTCAAGCACAGCTTATCTTGGGATGCATCTTCTTGACAGAAGGCTGACTTGGTGCAAACATGTTTACACTAAAAGGAAACAACTAAGTCTAAAACTCACCAAACTATACTGGTTAATAGGAAGAATCTCCAAGCTGACACTTGACAACAAACTGCTGGTTTACAAAATTGTAACTTTTACAGATTGCAAAGAAAATAGGAGACATTAAAAAAAAAGCATTTGATCAATCCACTCCTAGCATGTTTCTGTTGTAATCACAAACAACCAAGGGCTTTGTTTATTGTTTGTTTGCTTTAGTCACAACCACAGGCATATCATCTTTGTGGTATGTTGATATCATAGTCACTGGGCCAGCCATGGTAACTGTGAGGTCAGCGTTCTATTTAGACTGAGGGGCAGAGCTGCAGGAAATTGAATGTTATGTTTACAGGAACAGAGAGGGCACTCTTTTCACAACAGCCCAGTGCAATCATCATCATGCTGGCATGGTTCCTTCCATATTTATGGCCCTTCGAAATTAAGCTTACATCTTGGCGTACTGTGTAGGCAAACAGCAGGTAGGACCATTTAAATACCAGTGTACTGCATAAGGCAAACCACGCTGAAGGGTCAGTGAAAACTACAACAGATACAGAAGGCATAATAACATGGTTAAATAGAGCAAGATTACTTAAGTTATCTTTCCTCATAATCACCACCTTTCGTTATGCACTTTTGCCAGCGATGAACAAGAGCCTGTATGCTGCGCTCGTAAAAATCTGCTCCAGCAGAGGCAAGCCACTTTCTTACAGCTGCAATGACAGCATCATTGTCTGGAAAATGTTGCCCACATAGTCCGTCTTTCATAGGCCCAAAGAGATGTAAGTCTGAAGGTGCTAAATTGGGGCTATAAGGTGGATGTGGTAGGACAGTCCAGTCAAACTTTGCAATGTGCGCGGTGGTCGCAAACTGGTATGGGGTCTAGTGTTAGCATGTTGTAAGCGAAAGATTGTCTGCTTCTCTGGCCTGATTCGGGAAATGCGGGCAACCAGCTTAGTCAGCGTCATCTTGTAGCGTTCAGAATTGACAGTCTCGCCAGGCTCAAGGAAATCTAACAAAATCACACCCTGCCTATCCCAAAAGACCGTGCACATCACTTTCCATGCCATTGTCTGTGTCTTGAACTTCTTTTCTCTTGGGGAATCCGGATGTCGCCACCCCATGGACTGTCTTTTCGATTCCGACTCGTAGTGGTGACACCACGTCTCATCTCCAGTGACAGTGCTATCCAGAAACTTGTCACCTTCAGCCTCAGACTGGTGCAACAGGTCCTGACAGACTTCCATTCGATGAGTATTGTGGTCCTGTGTTAGCATCCTTGGGACCCACTTGGAAAAAGCTTTGCGATAATCCAGCTTCCCCAACATCATTTCCAATGCATTACAGCCGATATTAAGCCATGCACACAGTTCCCTGGTCATTATCTGCTGATCTGTATGGTTGAGCTGATCGAGGCGCTGTTCATCGTGAGAAGTGGCAGCTGAGCAGGGACGCCCAGGGCACGGTTTGTTGTGCACTTCACTTTTGCCACTTTTGAAACACACTACCCACCACCTCATTGTGCTGACATCCACTGTATTGTCTCTGTACACCTTTAGCAAGTGTCGATGGATGTCAGTCGGTGCAATTTGTTCAACAGCGAGAAATTCAATAACACGTCTCTTGTTTCATATGCACTTCTACGTCAGACGCCATTTTGGTAGACTGCTCTGCTGTTGCTATATGTCACACAACAACCAAACTAACAGTACCTTGGCGGGAAGGTTCAACCTTTACTGCAACACCACCAACATCCAGCTCAGACATTACAGATTAACACAAAAAAATAGGAGGCATTATATATGGAACACCATTCGCATATATATATATAAATTTATTCCATCCATAGAATTTTTAATGACACTACATTTGCTGCAAGTTCTATGAATCAAGCTGTGTACTCATATTACAGGAGAAATACATGAGTGAGCCTTACAGTGAAGAGCCGGCTGACTCAGAAGCTGCTCGCCGGCTGCTTGAATTTGGTGATGACTACCGAAATTACCTTGACAGCCAATCAGATGGTGCATCAAGCCTCAGTGCAAACCAAATTCCTTCACCTGTACGGAGACGAAGACCAGCAGTGAGTTATTTTCTTGTTACTATGGTAGTGAAGAGTTCAGTTATGTCTTCGCTGAGGAATATTTTCTGTGTCATGCAGCGCTGAGTCACAGTGATAACTGCATAGTTCATGAATAAGTCTGCATTTTTAAAAGTATGTTTACAAGTAACTGCACATCTGTGCATGAGTAAGGGGAGGAGGGACATACATGAGATTCATTCAGGCATTGTATGACATTAGTTTGAGAAGATAAATGTGGCACCATCAGAATCATCTGATTCACTGATAGTATTTTGAAGGTCCAATACAGCTAATAGAGAATTCTGCTATTGGATAAGATCCTGAGCCACATTAATCCACCTTACATCCTCACAACCTGTCTCCCTGTGATCCAGTGTATTGGCAACTTGATGTTAGGGTAGTGAAATATTGGCGGCAATGATAGATGTCACGTACATGATGAGAATTGTAAATATTGCATACACAATTTTGGTGTTTTTACCTTAAGGAAATCATCTGTTCAGATATTTGAGGAGTGTGAGAGCATAACAGTTAGGGGAATGGGTTATGAGTGTGGAAGGTAGATGTAACTTTCTCAAGATTGTATCCAATGGTGATCTTTGATAAAAGAATTGGTGAATGTTTGTATTCCAGTATGAGAGAGTCAGATGTGTTAAATTCAAGCAAGTTTGTGATGTCTTTGCAGTTTGAATGTTCTCTTGAAATAAAATCCAGTAGCATTATGGTCACATTTTGAGTGTTAGGATCTTTACACAATTTACATTTTTAACCAAGAAGTGAAAATTATTTTCTTCATAAGTGTGGTTGTTAGTCATTGCATATGTGAGCATTCTATAACTCCTTTGGAACGCAGTGGTTGAGTTGACAAATGTGGTGCAGTTATCATAGCATTAAAAGCAACCCCAATTTTGATTTTGTAATTTCTTGCCATCATTAAAACAAATGTGATAGCTACACAAAATTTTGAGGTGGAAGTGTAGCTAGTGCGAGGATCCTGGAATATTGCAGTAATAGGTCTTTCAGAAATATGTTACTTTTGTTAAGTTCATGTTTTTGTATGATAGTAGGCATCATAAGCTCTTCTAAGAGTGGTTGTGTTGCAATTAAAACTCTGTGTGAGTTGTCTTTTCCTAGTGATGGTTAATGTGAAAGTATATAGTTAGATGACATGTGGAATATAGTATATTGTGCTTTCAGTCTGATAGCAGTAACTAATTAATAATTGCAGCTAAGCATGTGTAGTTTTGGTATGGAGGTAGATAGGTCATAAATACACCTACAACCATTTCATGTGAAATTTGTTTTATGTATTAAAAACTATAAACATTTCCTCCTGATGCGGAAGTTATGGGCAGAAATGATCAAGTAGTTGCATAATTATCTATTGTTTCTGGTAGGCTTTCTGAAAGGAAAGAGTGATACGAGGGAAAGAAAGCATAAATTCTTTCCGGAATGGCCATATTACATTGAAACTCTGTGGAAGTAGTGTTTTGGCTAGAATAGAAGTAGGCATTTAAGGTATCATCAGTGCTTGAACTGGGAAGGAAAAAGGAAAGGATGGTTTGGTTAAAAGTTTCAGATAAGCTAATATTCTGTAAGCCTGAAATAAACATTAAACACATAAAGATGTCTGCAAAAATAAAAATAGCAAATTTCCTGTTCAGTTAGAGGACTTGTCTTTTGTGTATTGACATCCAGTTGTGATTTTTTTTTCTTAAAATGTCTTGCTGCATTCACCATTTGTGCTAATAATGTGATTTAATAATTTCTCCATGAATTGTTTTTGGCCATTTGAGGTGAATCAGTAAGTCAGTAAAATTAATTTTTCTTATAGTTTTATTGTTTTATTTCTTTGCTGCATTTTATGTTCTGTTTTCTAGTTTATGAATACAGTTTGAAATACCTTGTATGTGAAGTATAAAGCTATGGAGAACCAACAGATATTTCTAATAAAAATTTTTGTGACTGCCTCTGGGAGGCAGTGAAAACAGTACTGAGAATTACTGCACAAGCCTTCATTGTGGTGCATATGTTACCATCAGAACTTTTGCCTTTTAAAAGATATAGAGATGTAAAATCAAAATGTGTGATCATTACATTAATTTCAATGGCATTTGAAACAGGATAATACATCACCAAGGAGAATAAGGTGGACAGGACACATAGCACATGCAGAAGAAATAAGAAATGCATGCAAAATTTTTGTTAGCAAATCTGAAGGAATGTGACCACTGGGGAGAAGTAGGTGTGAATGGTTGAATAATATTAAAATGGATTTTAGAGATTCAGGTTATGGGACTGGGCATGGTTCATGTGCTTAGTGTAGGGACTAGTGGCAGGAATCTGTGAACTCGGTAATGAACGTTTAGATCCCATAAAAGGCAGGAAATTTCTTGATTAGTTAAGTGACTGTTAGCATCTTGAAAAGATCACTACTGCATGGACTTAGTTAAATTTTGATATGAAAGTTGGGCATAGAAATTATAATGCTGCTTTGAAGATTTCAAACTTTATCCCAAACTGTAATTCAAATTTAATTCAATTTGAAAAACTACAGTTTGGCTTTATTAATGTAATTATTATTTGAAAGACATACAAAATTATTGGGTAATTAATACATGTGTGTGTTATATGCATATTTGTAATAAGGACAGTAAATTCACATGTTCTGGAGTTGTGTATTTCTTGGATGCAGGGTGTACCTGGTGACAGTTCTTTACTGGACAGTGACTCAGACCTTGAAGATATTCGACATGTGATCATTCAGTCACGCAAACAGCTTATGTTCTCTGAAGATGTATTCAGGAAGCAGCTTGCGAGGACCTCACCTGGACATTTCTTGGCTTCTGACTTTGTAAGTAATTTGTCAATCAATAGAATGTTGTACACTACTCTGTTGCTGTTTTAGTAGTTTAAATAAAACAATTTTATTTAAGGCGGAGATTGTGGCTACTTGTCAAGAGAACATCCGGTGCCTTCGTGTAATTCTAGAGAATGTGGAAGAAGAAGGTGGACTGCTATCAACACAGGAATGCAAAGACATACGGGGTGAGTAATCTTTCATTTTTCTATCATCATTAATATACTATTTTTGACTTCATCAGATAGTGAACATCATACTTTTTGCTTCATACACATGGAGCAACCATATCTGAGTTGTGTTTCATATTCTTGCTTTTTTCATAGCATATTTTAAATGAAGGAACATGAAAATCACACACAGGCATGAGGCAAAAATGAAAACATTGGCCATTGTAGCAGCAATACATTAATTTATGTACGTAGTCTGTTCATTGCTAAATAGGCCAAAAAGTGTCATATGCTCATAATATGGAAGGTGCATGAAATTATTGCAATTATATACAGTTTTGTTTGGTGGAATGTCAAGGAATAGTAGTACAGAGCACTACACAATGCTCCATTACAGTATTTCATGATCAGTGAGAGGTTTAAGTTTCAGAATAAAATATTGTAAAAGTGTTCTGTACTTTGAGAAAGTGTGACTTTCATTTACTTCATTATGTTTGTTTGCATTTTAGTTTGTGTTCTCTTAAGTGTTTCATGTACACAGCTTCTTTTAACTTGTTGAATTTTAAGTTCTCACACCAGCAGCTATTCTGGGATATACAGCTGTGTAAAAGTAAAGTAAACCTATCCCTGTAACAGGCCATGAAGGCCCATAGGGTTGTGAAACGTTAAGGGTCCCACACTATCTAGACAATCTGCTCAAAGATGGTGGTAAGGTTGTCAGCCCTACACGCCGGCCGCGCTTTACTCCCCAGGAAAATTATTTATTTAATTCCTGGTACTCATTTCTGTTAGAGGCTGAGTGAACCCCCGGGCCATAGTGCAGCCAGAAGGATTAGGTCAATTGAAAAAAATCCCAGTGACCTCATCGGTATTTGAACCCACGACCTTCCGACTTGTAGCATAGTGCCTTATCCAAATCTGATAAAAGTCAACGAACCTTTTGGAGAATAAAGCATGTCCATTTTCGGAACTGAACTTTGCTTGCTGCTTGCTTCACATTGATTTCTTGTTTGGCTTACTCTTGAACCCTGAAGGTGGAGCTGATATGTTCCTCCAAAATGCAGGTTGATTTTCACCGAACTACATTGTATCCCAGAAAATCAAACTTGTTCTTCCTTGGACTTTAATTATAACAGTGAGTCATTTGGTCTCCCCATGTGATTGGGTGTCAGTGTAAGCATTCAGGAATAAGGGGGAAGGAAACTGAAATGCAACCAAGAAGCTGTTATAATTGGTCTCAGGTCAAAATGCATAAGTACATTACAGGCATTATGTCACCACAGTAATGTTAAATTCATATGGCCAGAATTGAAACAAGATTTTGTAACCGTTCTTTGTAAGCAAGGATAGAAAATGAGCAGAACTCAGGGGATCCGAATAAAAAAAAATCACGGATCTCAGCCTTTCTGGAGAAGTCGCCAATTGTGCGACTACTCAAGAACTTCCCAGCATTTTATGGAATCCAAAGGTTCATCACCATGTTCACAAGAGCCCTCCACATTGGTTCCTATCCTAAGCCAGATTAATGCAGTCCATCCCACTCCACCCTATCTCTCTAAGATCCATTTTAACAAAGTCCACCCACCTATGACTTGGTCTTTGTAGTGGTCTCTTTCCTTCTGGCTTTGCCACCAATATCCTGTATTCTTTCCTCTTCACCCCCATTCATGCTACATGCCCTGCCAGTGTCATCCTCATTGACTTTGTCATTCTAACTCTACTTGGAGAAGAGAAAAAGTTATGATGCTCTTCCTTATAAGTTTTCTTCAACTTCCCAATACATCATCTCTCTTTGGTTCAATTATTCTCCTCAGCAGCCTGTTCCAAACATCCTCAGTCTATTCGGTGCAACGCATCACATTATATACTCACATAAATCTTTGCCTCAAGTCTATGTTCCTCCCTTTAATGTCAGAGACCAAGTTTCACACCCATACAGAACCACAGGCACAATTATAGTTTTGTATATTCTAATTTTTATATTTTTAGACAACAGACAAGGAGACAAAAGGTTCTGGTCTGAATGGTAGCACGCACTACATGAATTCAGTATTCTCATAATTTTCTCCTGTATCAGGTTTTTATTTGTTAGTCATTTGCAAATATCTGAACTGTGCCACATTTTAAAAACATCTGTTTCCCATCTTTATGTCACAATTTGGCCCTGCATTCTGGTGACGAGTCAGCAACATATACTTAGTTTTCTCTGTGTTTACTACTGGACCAGCCTCCTTACTAGTGTCGATTAAAGTTTATGTGTTTTTCTATATAGCATCTAATGTGGCATGCTGCCTAGAGCCGGAATATTTGGAACCAGAACACATCCATTGCTATACAATGGCTAGCAGTTCCTAGGCAGCGAAGCCTAGGAAACCATTGCCCTGGAAATAAAAGTCTAGCAGTGGTGTTTCCACCGTTACAAATTAATTGTTTGAGGCAGACACGTATTCCCACGTTCATTGCATGGCAGGGGGGGAAATTAACCCTTTGACAAGGTAATCCTATTCAGTTTGAGGGCAAGCTATATAACAGTCCAACTTCGAGATGAGACTAGTTCAGTTTGTATTCGACTTTAGCAGGAAAGAGTTCTTATCTGACTAGAGCAGAAGTGATGTAACATTGGAGAAGAAACGTCTAAAGGACATTATAGGTGGAGAATAACTGTAAGTGTAAAAGTGACTGTCCAATAAAGACATTCATTCAAGAACTCACACAATTTCTTGTCGCGTTGCGTGACAAACACGTGACACTATGTTATCTGTTTGGGAACGACGATAACAAATCAAAACCTGATTCAGGAGGAAATTGAGAATATTGGACCTTTTCTCTTCTTGTCTGCTGTCCAAAACATAAGAATTATAATATACAAAACTATGATTTTGCCTGTGGCTCTGTATGGGTGTGAAACTTGGTCTCTGACATTAAGACTTAGGGTATTTGAGAACAGGGTGCTGAGGAGAATATTCGGATCGAAGAGAGATGAAGTGACAGGAGGTTGGAGAAAACTACATAATGAGGAGCTTCATAACATCATTTTCACCAAGTATAATTAGAATGATGAAGTCAAGGAGGATGAGGTGGGTAGTGCACATAGCACAAATGGGGGAGAAGAGGAATGCATATATGATATTGGTGGGAAAGCCATAAGGAAAGAGACCACTGGGAAGATCAAGATGCAGGTGGGTGGAAAATATTAAAATGATTCTTAGAGGGATAGGATGGGTAGGGATGGTATTGATTGGATTGATCTGGCTCAGGATATAAACCAATGGAGGGCTCTTGTGAACATGGTGATGAACCTTTGGGTTCCATAAAATGCTGGGAAATTCTTGAGTAGCTGCAGAATTTGTAGCTCCCCAAGAAGGGCCCAGCTCCATGAGTAAGTAAGATCTATGTTATCACCCAGTAGAGTCACATCATCAGCATAGACCAACAGCTGATGTGTCCCGTTTAATTTCAGTCCCACCTGGTTTTCCAGACCTTCCTAATGGCATATTCTGAACAAAGTTGAAAAGTAGTAGTAATAAAGCGTCTCCTTGTTTTAGATCTTTCCGGCCAGGAAAATTATCAGACAAATATTTACCTATGTGGGCTTTAGAGTACATTTTGTTTAAACACATTTTAATCAGCCTAACTAGTTTCATGGGTATCCCAAACTCTAGCAGAATATTATACAGTACTTCCCTCCTAACTCAATCATAGACTTTCTTGAAGTCTATGAATAGCTGATGTACTGTCTCATTGTACTCCCATTTTTTCCTCCAGTATCTGACGAATGACAAAGATTTGATCAGTAGTTGATTAGTTATATCAAAATCCACACTTCTGATCCCCAAGAATTTCATCTATATATGGACTTAACCTTGAGAAAAGGATATTGGATAAAATTTGTATGTCGTTGATAGCAGTGATATTTCATGATAATTACTGCAGTCAGTTTTATCACCCTTCTTGTGAACTGGTACAATAATAGACTCCTTCCACTGATCAGGCAATTTTTCCTTATGCCAAATAGAAGTAATTAGATTGTGGATCTTAGAATGTAATGTTTCGCCTCCTGTTTGAATAAGTTCTGCTGTAATTTGATCACTGCCTGGCAATTTGTACCTTTTCAACTCAGCAACAGCAGTTTGAACCTCCAAAGAACTAGGATCAGATACTAACAGCTCAGCTGTATGTATTTCTGTCTGCCTAACATCACTGGCCCTATGCACATTCAGTAGCTGAGGGAATTAGTTCTTCCACCCATTAAAGATGTTGTTGGAGTCCACAAGCAGCTCATCATTCTCATTCTTCACGAAATTACTTCTAGGTTGGTAACCCCACTTAAATTCATTTCTTCCTTTATACATGTCTGAGCTGTATTTTGCTGCAGCTTTGGTTAATGTTGGGTGGTTGTGTGACGATTCTTTGCCACGTTTTATTTGTTTGTCCACTACATGTGTTTCCCCTACACAGCTACCACCATGTATAATGAAAGTTGCAGAAGTCAGAATTTTAAATAGTAAAAATAAGTCATTATTGCAGTAGGTTGCTGAAATATGATTCTTGAGAAATTTGCGAGTCCATTGGGATCATGACCCACAGTCTGAGAAATCATGGTTTACAGGAATTTTGGAATGCAGCTTTACATTCTTTTCACTTCACTGGAAAGAGAATGCAACAGTACAGCGACCTTTCTCCAGACTTCTTAGCTGTCAAAGATGTTACATTGTCCACAAACGTTTCCAGGAAGCTCATTTACACTGGATGCTATCATAAGTAGAATATAACGTCCACATCTTTTAGAAACTAGAGTTTTTCTTAGCTTGTTCAGTAGTACAACTATCCTTTGCCGAAACGGTACTGTTTCCATAATGAGACTGGGTACATTACATGCAATATGACACTCAATTGTTATCGAATTCGGTGCGGAATGAGAATAAACTAGATCAAATGTCGGGGAAGCATTTGACGTGGGGTAACCAACCGCGTAACACGGAATGTGCTGAAGCCGATGCGGAGAGGAGGTGGAGTTA